CCCATCATGACCCATCATGACCCATCATGACCCATCATGACCCATCAACCGAACTGACTTGCCTTCTTGCTTGTTGTCCTGAACTGACTTCAATGACTCCAATCTTGTTGTGGCATCCAGAAGAATGTCCGAGTGATCGTGAATTCATCTTTATTGCGTTTGCCTTGCTTTCCTTCGCTGTCAACATTGCTTGTTCTCTGTCAACCTTGGACGTGCAACTGTCAAGATCTGATGAGGGTCAAGTGTGCATTGCAAAGACTACAGCCCATCCGCTGAAAACAGGAGACACAACGGGAAACTCGCGATCCGGGAACCCCAAATCCATGGGGCTCAATCCATGTCTGCGGTCCGTTTTGACTTGGGTCATTGTGGTGCTATACAGAACAGACCCAAGTAATGTAAACTCTCTGTTTCGGGAGGGTTTATGAATCAAGACTCTACCGTAGAGGTGAACTCTTCTTCCCATGATCGACAAACCCTCTTCTTCTGACTGCTCCAAGTGGCTGGTCACAAATCTCCCTGAGGTACAGCAAGACAGGTCGGGGGGAGATGTTCTCCGGTGGCTTGGCACGCAAAATGAAGGCTGCCTGGTGACATGGCAGAGATTGTGCCCAATGTTTAGGATTTGTGCTTTTCAGCGTGATCAGTGAAGAGCAACATGAGACTCTCAGTGAAAGACTCTCCCAGATCATCCCCAATCAGCCGATTCCCAACGCACAGACGACTAAGGGGCCCGCAAAGACGACGAAGTTGCAACAGCTTGTCCAAAAGCCTCAAAATCTGCCGTGCCTCCTTGTACTCCTCAGGCAGTATGTCCAAGTCGCCATGTTTCACGTAGGGCGTCGTCGGAGGGGAGGCCCACGCGGCCGCCTCACCGATCGCACCGGAGATCGGTACCCCGAACGAGTCGAAGCGATGTCACTGGTGGTTCTCCTCTCATCCCCTTTCTGTGGCTTTTGAAACTTGACCCGAGCCTCCAAGAAGCAAAACTCCAGCATCTTGCGGAGCTTCGCTTGACTTTCGGGCTCGAAATGCACCAAGTAGAGCAAGTTCTTGGCAGAGTTCATCCTGAGGAACAACAGTACTGTCCGTTTCCCGCACCCTTTGGCGTTTCCTCCTTTTGGAGAGACACCCGCTGAGGACGAAATGGGAAGACAAAGGGCGCCGCGGGCGTCGATGGTTTCATCGTTTCACCACCGTTTCACGGTGGGTGGCGTTCTCAAAAGGCAGGGCTGGTGGGCTTGCTTCAGTGGGATAATTGGGCAAACTGGCTCCAACATAGGGTACAATGAGCACCATTCAACCCGGTTAACCGAAGATGAGCAAATTTGGTCAAGGCTGTCAGGGCTGTCTCAACTGAGCATCCAATACAGCACACAAAGAAAGCTTAACTGGATCTGTGAAACAGAACTCTCCACATTAAAAAGACTGTGACTCCACTAGCAGGGCAGGCAATCTGTGCATCTCCAGGTTTGGGCAGAAGGTTTGTCGTCAGACTCTCAGAATCACTCTAGGTCGACTGAGATCCTTTTTTCAAGTTCTGAATTTCAGCCCAGCCCAACTGCTACCAAACTTGCGCCAGGCATCATGTCCAGGACTCCTGCCCAAAACAGGTGGGCAGTGAAACAATGTGACAAAGCAGGCGTTTCCCTTCCGAAACTTGGATAGACTTGTTCAGCTTCACCAAAACCTTGCCCCGAAATCGCCAGAAATTGATCAACGACCAGGCTGAGAGCGTAATCACTTTTCCAAAAGAGAAGTTCCACCTACACTCTTTTCTTGGAGATGATCCCACCAAAGAATCCCCGACTTTTTTTGCCCACCATAGCTCCAAGGATCCAGCGCCACGGGTCAAGTTCGGTCAGTTCGACCCCGGCAAAAACGCCGACCTTCGCTCCCTTGAGTCTCCCATGCGTCAAAACCCTTCTCCGCAGGATTCGGTGCAGCAGCAGAAGCAGCAGAAGCAGCAGCTCAGCGCACCCGCTTAGGAGCTTTGCTGGCGACGACCAGGATGTCTCCGGCCTGCCATCAACTTCTGTCGCCTGGACACAGCATTCTTTGCACGGAGGGACAAGAGCACCGCCAGCAGAAGACCGACAGCCTCACGTGAGCGCTTCCAACACCAAAACAAAAAATGGCGTTGTCTCCTGAACATCTAGTTCTGATATGAGGTGAAGAAATTGCCAAAGGTGGCTCTTTCTCAGCAGAACACCGAATCCTTTGCCAGCCAGGCTTTACATGACTGTACCCTACATCCAAGCCATGCCCAGCAACGCGGAAGAAGGAGGTGTCCACCAGTTGCATTTGAACCTCAGAAAAGTGGTGCGCTGCGCCGATCTCAGCTCCAGTGACCCCAAAACTCAATCGAAGGCCCTGCATCGGACAGAGTCCTTGCTTTTCGATGTCCTTGGCTTTCTCTTGTTTTTTCGGGGACGATTGGGCTTTCCCAGCCCCAATCTTCCAGAGCCTCACAGTCTCATCTTCTCACCTTTACGACCTTCACGACCTTCACCGGGGCCCCCGGAGTCCTTTTCGGTCGAACAACAAAAGGGGCCGGTGCGGCGTTCACGCTGTGACGGTCCTCATCTCCCACCGAAACCCGGTTGGAACCCTTGAAATCCGAGAGGGTGTCGTTTGGGACAACATTTGGGGCAGTTCTGGGCGCTGCATGCAGCCGAAACTGTGAAACACCTGTGAAACACCTGTGACATGTGAGACCGGCCCGGCCCGGCGGAAGAAAGGCCCAGCAGAAACTGGGGCCTCCTCCAGCGCGATCGCCAAGGCACTGCTCCGGTGATGACCACCAAGACATAGGAGATAAAGACACACCTTTTCGAAAGGATCTGGCCTTTTCTTGGTGGGGATAAAGACACCAAAGCAAGAGATAGGAAAGACTGGAGAGGTTCTGGGTGTCTCCTTTCTCTTTGGCGGGATTCAACGAGTGGCAGCTGGTTTTGGTTTGCTTTCTTTCTCCAGTCACTAGCAGTTGCAACTTGGGAAGTTCATCTCAGCTTTTCCACAGAGTTCGGTTTATATGTTGGTTCGGCACGAAAAGGCACCCCCAAGGTTCGATCATGGACAGGACGTCGTCCGAAGCAGGACCGAAAACATGTGTTGTGAATTTTTTAGGACACATCAATGCAATGTATTGACTGCTATGGTTTGCCAGTGGTTTGCCAGTGGTTTGCCAGTGGTTTGCCAGTGG